GAAGGTGCTGAACCAAATAGAGTAGATAATGATGAGATTCATCCAAAAGTTGAGAGCTATGAAGAAAGTTCATCTTCTATGGAAAATGATCAACGAGAAGAACCCGACCCTAAGGCGTCAACAATAGAAGAATCCCAAAACCAAACACCTGGAAGCGTAGAACAAGATATTAAAACACAAGGAAATACAAAGGACAAAATTTCTTCTGATAATTTAGACAGTAAACAACCAGAAGCCTTGGAAAATAACACAACCCAAAATGAAGCTCCAGAAAATAAATTTTCTCCAATTGACACAAATAAAAAAGGTGACTTCCATAATTCCACAAATTCCCCTAGAGGTAAACGATATAGAAAAGTCAGAAGACCAAGAGTTGTTAAAGCAAATGAAAACGAACCCACAAATTATAACAGTGAAATTAGTCAGGAGGATAATAATCCTAAAAATCAGGATGTTAATGATGAGAATGAACCAAACAGTGATGTTGAAGATCGAGACAATACGCATGACGCTGAGAATGGAGAAAAATCAGAAAGTCCAGAATCGAATGATGAAGAAAATAATTACGAAGAACCAAAAGCTTTGGAACATAATGAAACAGACGACGAAGTGCAAGATAATGATTCAACTGCTCCGAATAAGGATGGACAAAGAGACATCGATAATTCTTCTTATTCTCCAAGAGGCAAACGATATAGAAAAGTCAGAAGACCAAGAGTTGTTAAACCAAAAGAAAACGAACCTATAAATTATAACAGTGAAAATAGTCCTGAGGACAACCATTCTGAAAATCAAGAGATAGACGATGAGATTGAACCAAACAGTGATAATGAAGATCGAGAAAATACGCATGACGCTAAAAATGGAGAAAAATCAGAATGTCCAGAATCGAGTGATGAAGAAAATAATTACGAAGAACCAAAAGCTTTGGAACATAATGAAACAGACGACCAAGTGCCAGCTAATGATTCAACTGCTCCGGATAACGATGGACAAAGAGACATCGATAATTCGTATTATTCTCCAAGAGGTAAACGATATAGAAAAGTCAGACGACCTAGAAGACTTATACCTAAGGGTTCAAATGCTGAAGAACCGAAAAAAAATATCTATCCAAATAGTATTGAGATTACTCCTTCAGAAAATGCTTCGCAGAATAGTATTGAAAATGAAACTGATTCGAACAACAATATAGTTTTAAATCAATATAATTCCCCTGGTAATTCTAAGGAAATTAATGATGTTGATTCTTTAGCGAATCCGCCTGAACAAAGTGAGGTGCAGAAAAATAAAAAGAAACGACTCCCGAAAAAGATGAAACACGTTAAACGCGTTAGAACTTATATGGTAAATAAAACAACAAATGAAAAAATTCCTATCAATGATAAAACATATTCAACCATAAATGGAATTCGTGAAACTTTAGACAACACTCAAAAATTAATAGATGAAGACAACTTACCCAACAAATCGATTCCTAACAGTTCCGAGTCTAATAACTCTGATAAAAGCTTTTCTTCATTTTTGGTAATTTAAACAATTATTATTACTTTCACTTGGAATTTATTATAAAATTGTAACTTTAATTTTTTTGACAGTTTAAAGAATACAATGCAGATCAATGTAAACGTGATNATCAAATGATGAAGAAAATAATTACGAAGAACCAAAAGCTTTGGAACATAATGAAACAGACGACGAAGTGCCAGCTAATGATTCAACTGCTCCGGATAACGATGGACAAAGAGACATCGATAATTCTCCTAATTCTCCTAGAGGCAAACGATATAGAAAAGTCAGAAGACCAAGAGTTGTTAAACCAAAAGAAAACGAACCTATAAATTATAACAGTGAAAATAGTCCTGAGGACAACCATTCTGAAAATCAAGAGATAGACGATGAGATTGAACCAAACAGTGATAATGAAGATCGAGAAAATACGCATGACGCTGAGAATGGAGAAAAATCAGAAAGTCCAGAATCGAATGATGAAGAAAATAATTACGAAGAACCAAAAGCTTTGGAACATAATGATACAGACGATGAAGCGCCAGCTAATGATTCATCTGCTCCGGATAACGATGGACAAACAGACATCGATAATTCTTCTAATTCTCCTAGAGGCAAACGGTATAGGAAAGTCAGAAGACCAAGAGTTGTTAAACCAAAAGAAAACGAACCTATAAATTATAACAGTGAAAATAGTCCTGAGGACAACCATTCTGAAAATCAAGAGATAGACGATGAGATTGAACCAAACAGTGATAATGAAGATCGAGATGAAACAGACGATCAAGTGCCAGCTAATGATTCAACTGCTTACGATAACGATGGACAAAGTGACATCGATAATTCTTCTTATTCTCCTAGAGGCAAACGATATAGAAAAGTCAGAAGACCAAGAGTTGTTAAACCAAAAGAAAACGACCCTATAAATTATAACAGTGAAAATAGTCCTGAGAATAATCATTCTGAAAATCAAGAGATAAATAATGAGAATGAACCAAATAGTGATAATGAAGATCAAGAAAATACGCATGACGCTGATAATGGAGAAAAATCAGAAAGTCCTGAATCGAATGATGAAGAAAATAATTATGAAGAACCAAAAGCTTTAGAACATAATGAAACAGACGACGAAGTGCAAGATAATGATTCAACTGCTCCGAATAACGATGGACAAAGAGACATCGATAATTCTTCTTATTCTCCAAGAGGCAAACGATATAGAAAAGTCAGAAGACCAAGANACAGTGATGTTGAAGATCGAGACAATACGCATGACACTGAGAATGGAGAAAAATCAGAAAGTCCTGAATCAAATGATGAAGAAAATAATTACGAAGAACCAAAAGCCCTGGAGCATAATGAAACAGACGACGAAGTGCCAGCTAATGATTCAACTGCTCCGGATAACGATGGACAAAGAGACATCGATAATTCTTCTAATTCTCCAAGAGGTAAACGATATAGAAAAGTCAGACGACCTAGAAGACTTATACCTAAGGGTTCAAATGCTGAAGAACCGAAAAAAAATATCTATCCAAATAGTATTGAGATTACTCCTTCAGAAAATGCTTCGCAGAATAGTATTGAAAATGAAACTGATTCGAACAACAATATAGTTTTAAATCAATATAATTCCCCTGGTAATTCTAAGGAAATTAATGATGTTGATTCTTTAGCGAATCCGCCTGAACAAAGTGAGGTGCAGAAAAATAAAAAGAAACGACTCCCGAAAAAGATGAAACACGTTAAACGCGTTAGAACTTATATGGTAAATAAAACAACAAATGAAAAAATTCCTATCAATGATAAAACATATTCAACCATAAATGGAATTCGTGAAACTTTAGACAACACTCAAAAATTAATAGATGAAGACAACTTACCCAACAAATCGATTCCTAACAGTTCCGAGTCTAATAACTCTGATAAAAGCTTTTCTTCATTTTTGGTAATTTAAACAATTATTATTACTTTCACTTGGAATTTATTATAAAATTGTAACTTTAATTTTTTTGACAGTTTAAAGAATACAATGCAGATCAATGTAAACGTGATGCGTATGATAAATTTAAGAAAGTTTCTTCGCAAGCTTCCAAACAAATTGCATATGGATGCGTTGTAAATACAAGTGAATTACGAAGTTCTATTTTATCATCAGTAAACAAGGCCATAAGGAATGTGAAGGCCTCTAAGACAATTAAAGCCACGGAACAAAGTATGCAGGATGTCAGTAATGATCTAAAATCCGGTTTAAAAAAAACAATCAGTGACTTTTTACACAAATTGATTCCATTTGCTAGCGATTTCCTAAGAACAGCTGACAATCTTAAACAATTATATCAGAAAGGTCCGCAGTCTACATACAAAATGTTATCCAATATTCTGGACAATGAACCAACTATTCTAAATTCAGCTGCAAAAGATATACTGAAACTTATTTCTCCAAAATTTAATGTAGACGAATTCGTTGATAATATTTGTAAAAATCTTTACAATGGTTCATCGTTAAAAAAGGCAAAAGCTATGACTCAGAGAAAACTCATCGATCTGTCTAAGAACATGGATACGGCAATCAGTAATATCGATTGTTCCATATTGTCGGCTATGTCTACTGTAGGCTTAGGGTTGGATACAATGAAATCGCTAAAATCTGGTAGAATGATTATGAGTGATAAACATCCTAGGGCGCAAATATTGAAAGATGCTATATCAATAATCAAACCTGGTAAAAACATTAGATTTGATGCGAACTATTCACCTAACTTTACACCATCATTGGTCACTCCTAACGATGAGCCTAACAGCAATGAAAACGACGATTATGAAGATCCTGATCGAGTTGCACAGAAAAATGAAGAGTTTTTGAAAAACATACCCCATTTAGATGATAACGTGCCAATTTCAAAAAAAGTTCCAAACAAAAGACAGTCGTTGGGAATTATTGTTGTACATCCAGACAAGCATATTGAGTATAAAGAAGTTACTGATACGACGGAATTGAACAATTTCGTCGGTAATCAAACAAAAAAATATAAACTGCAATCAACAAGTAATTATCCTAAATTTTTAAAAGTGAACAGCAAAAAGGTAATCGATACTATGGTAGATGATATAAAGAAAAAGGCTCAAGATAATGGAATGAGTAAAAAGGAAATGGTAGACGAAATAATTCAAAGTTTGAAAAATAATAGTTGAATGTAATTATGATTTAAATTTTAAGTGTACCTACCAACGTTTTATTATTATTTATAGTCATAATTATCACTATAAATTATTGAGCATATGTACCTATTTGATATTTAAAATTATTTTGAATTTTAGTTCATTATGCAATTGTTGAAATTGTACAAATTTTTTTATGTACATTAATTCATTATAATTGATATTTTATTCATTAAAAATAGTTCTAATATTACTTTTTTAAATTTTTTTATGGGAACCCATCCTTTTTAAAATTACTTTTTCAATTGGAAATTTAAATTTAGGTAAACCTTCAAAATATTTATAGGAATCTAATTCAAATTAGTTTATTAATTTATATTTTTATCATCTTAATCAACTGTTTCAAAATAAATTTTAAAACATAAGGTATTTTAGGTACCTACTACACAATTCCTGTGTTGGGAAAAGTAAGAGGTGGTCACAGTAACAGTAGGTACTCAACGGATGAAAATAAATAAATTACAAAATTTGAGATACACATATGACATTCGTACAAAAAAAATAATTGTTTTTGCCCTAACAATCTATCTTGTATGTATAAATCACAACACTTTGTTTCCATTGTCTGTTGTAACTTAAAAAAAACAAATAAAAATCGGATTAATTGTTATTCACATCAATAAATAATAATAAAATCTAGTGTTACTCTTCAGTTTTTTAAAATTAAAATAGTCATCGTACAGGTAGGAACCTAAATGAAAAAATAGGTAATACAAATATGAATTAAAAATTCAAGTCTTAGTATCCTACAAAAAATAAAAATAAGCAAACATGATAAAATAATACGAATAAAACACGAAACACTTTTTACTAACTGATAATGAAATTGTTATTATTACATTATACATAAATGCCTACCTACGCAATTACACTAACACTACTGAGTACCTACTGGCGTATGTACTACGCACGATTTGGGTGACTATAATAATAATAATAATAATAACGATAACAATAATATACGCTGAGAATTAAAAACTAAAACGTCCAAAAGACAATAATACGAAACCGAATAGGTAGGTAGGTAGGTAGGTACACAAATACTAATTATCGGTATTATCAACCAGCGAGCTACCCGTGATTTTTTTTTTTTTTTTTAAATGTTACTCCAATCGCCTCCCGACGCACGGCAGTAAATTTCGCATCCGCGTGACCATACACAAAGACCGAAATCCCATTTCAATCATATGGAGTTACAGCCGGTAGAGAAACATCCGCGGCGAAATTTCAAATTTCTGGACAAATCAGTTTGCACAGTCGTTAATATATTTCGGTCGGCCATTTTCTTTTTTTATACACCTGCCTACTACACGATGATATATTATTGTAAGTGTACTAGCTGCCCCGCGCACCCAACGTTGCTCGCGCCCATTTGTATTATTATTATTTTACCCATATCCATTTTTGGTCACCTTCGGCGGACTAAACGTTTTCTATTGTGCAATTTGAATGGTGTAAATAATAGTTAATAATAATTATTATTATTATTATAATAGTGTTCTTTTCCGTGGCAACCTTTGAATAAACAAAAGTCGTATATAAATAAAACAAAGTCTGGTTGGTTACACCATTTATAATCCGAGAACGGCCGGACCGATTTCGATGATCACACGATGTTTTCCGGCTAATTTCTAATAACAATTAATCACCATTTTTTTTTTCATCCCCGTTACCGGGGTAACACAAATCAACGAAAAAAAAAAGAATAAAATAAAAATTGTATTATATTATATTATATATATGCGAAAATAATAAAATCACGATTGAAAAATGATGGGTGGGGTTAAGAGGGTGAAAAATACTCTACGGCCCATTCTCATACCTACCAAATGTACAAAAAAAATTGCATTCAAATCGATCATGCCGTTTCGGAGGGGTGTGACCACGAACAAGTGACACGAGAATTTTTTACATATATATATAAGAGACATATTAGTGCACAGTGTATCCCGTTTTTTATGTAGTTACCACTAAATATCTCAGTCCGATGACCTTAAATTGAAATGGGGTTTTCGGAAGGTGATTGGGAGTACCGAAATACTTATTGGGTATTTCGAAATAATTTTCGGTTTTTTAACATTTTCTGTGCGCTCACGTACAATTAAAATTACTATTTTTGAATAGCAACCCTTATTTTTGTTATCAGATATGGATAATTTTTTCCCGAGACATTTTTATACATTAACCATGTTCCTAAACTTAAAATTGGCTGAGTTACATCTTTTTTAAATTTGAAAATGATACACTTGTATTGAGTGATTTATTCATTAATTTGGACATTTTTATTATAAAATAAAATTATGAGTAATTAGAATATTGATTTTATTTATGTTTAATTTTTTACCTTATAAAATATTCAAAATTGTCTCCATTGTTTTCTAAACACGCTTCCAGCCGGAAAATTTTAAAAACAAGGTGCACATTAGGTCAATAACTTAGAAAAAAATGATTTATTCATATCTGACGGGCACTGAAAGGGTCAAAAACCAGAAAATTATTTCAAAATAGGTGTCTCAGTAGGTACTTATTACCCATCACCTCCCGAAAACTCCATTTTAATTTAAGGTCAACGGGCTGAGATATTTATTGGTAAATAAAATACGGAAAGACACTGTATATAAGAGCCAAGTACCTAACAACATTGCATAGATTTAGTACTCGACTATATTTTTCTCATATAGATTGTAACTTGAATACATAATACACCTAAAAACAGTATAACCTATTCACACCAAAGCTGGAAAAAAAACATTACAGGTTTAGTTAATAGGCGTACACAGAATTTGTTCACGAGTGCGCTACAAAGAAAATGGACTTTTATTCCCTAAGTATTCCTTATAACCCACCATCCTCCCTAAAAACATAACAGTGATTGTAAAATATCAATTAGTTTTAAAAATCATAATATTTGTTTACCACATAATCTTAACAAAAATATAATTATATACCTATTTCACCTTATAGATAACCATAATACAAATTACGCAATATCTTTTTAAAATAAATTATTACATCACTTAGAATTAAAAAAACTTAATATTATTATTACTATTATTGAACTCAAGGCTCAAATGATAAGTAATATCACAGTGGTTGGATTTATTATTTACTTGATGGTCATTGTTCATATCACGTGGGTTAGCATTTTAAGTCCAGAATGAGTACATTTTGTATCAGCCTACAGACCACATTAAAATTATTTTGGCAGAGCAAAAATGCTCAATAATTTAACAGTAAAGTTCATCATAAGTTATATTTGGTGATATAAAAATTGATTGTAACGTGTTAATTTTTTTTTTTAAGCTTTTAAAGTTTAAATATTGACAGAAATCATAAAAATTACTGCATTTAAAATCAATTTACTCTAAATAAACTACCATCTCAAGATTTTATTTTTATTTTTAACACATGTCAAATGAAAATATTATTTTATTTCAATTATAGAATATATTTTACTGATTTTAGTAAAAATGTCATAATTGGGTAGAATAAATAAAATATTATGTGTAGAATATATTATATTGTATTTTAGGCAAAAAAATAAAAATATAAAAACTAACAACAAAAATTAAAATAAAATAAGCTAAAAACAAAAACAACATTCAGTCCTATTTTACCTATCCATAGACACTATATACTCTGTTCCAAATAAGAGCACATCGGACAGCGGACGAAAATCGATCAAACTCAAGTATGCGTTCACACTACAGGCAGACTCTGGTGTTTTTGGCACTGCACGTTCCAGCAAAAGCAATAGTATCAACAGTAGCCGACTAATCAAGGAACAAATAGACACTGCTGAAAGGTCTGATCTGCTGCTCATTTATATTTGGAAAAGAGAATATACGTCCAAACAATTTTTCTTGGGTAACAACAGATCATGACAAATATTTTGCAGTGGTTTACAATGGTGTTGTTAACAACAATAATAACAAAAAAATAATACAATTTTTTAAGTTATGTATATATTATTACATAGAGTATAAACATTAAAAATAAATACATTTTTTAAACATTTTTTGATTACTAAATAATCCCTTTTTATAATCTAACTAATTGTGGAAGCCATTGAATATTCTTATAAAAGTTTATCAGTTAAGTGAGTACATTAACCTAAATCAGATTCAAACATAATGAATATTTTCAGTATATATATAAGTATAATATATACGTAATAAACATACCCAAGTGTGGAAGAAAGACTATAATTCCTTAAAAAATTTAAATTCCTTAACAATATTGTTGTAGTTTATTATTATTATTTTAAATTGTAAATATGGAATTTTTTTTTTTTTAAACTATTATGTGTTCAAACTTGTATGTATTGTTCAGAAGTTAAAAAATTGACTAAAGTAACTAAATCTTTCTATCACAATATATTGTATATACTGTATTTAATAATTATATAAAAATAACACACTTAATTGTATAAAAGAAAATAATTGAAGAATGTTAAAAACTAACTGTAAAAATTACCAATTATAAAAATACAACAAAATGATCATTCTAAAAAATAAAATTAGAATGATATGTATTTTTTAAAGTTTTATTGGTAAGTTTTTCGTTTTCTCTAATACATAAGCAGTGAATCGCTTTAAGAATTTGGGATACTCTCGTTTGTATACAGCTCTGAGGACAGAAGATGGTGCCCAACCGCCTGGATTTACTGTAAATGAACAGAAATTACACACATTAAAATTATTATTAAATTTAATTATACTAAATTTTAAATAAATATTATATTTTTTAAATTATATACACAATAAAATGTCGAAACAAGTATAAAAAGATAATCTTACCAACAGCGCAATAGGTAATTTTACAGGTGATGTCATCTCGTTTTAATTCACGGCCTTTGGCTGCAGGAGATATAACTGTTTGACCCATGAGAATTATAGTTAGATAGATGCGAATATGTTTACCCACATTAGGCTAAAAATGAATAAGACAGTCAGACAGACAGTTAATATAATGTTCATAATTAACTAGTTATTATAATAGAATTCAAGTCAAATTTCTATTTTTAAAAAAAAAAAAAAAAAAATTGTATTTGCTGACATGATGAAATTGATACAATAACATTATAATGACTCTAAATGTTAGAAATACAAATTAATTAATTCAAGCTCTCATCACATTATAGTTACAACAATATAAATGTACAACAGTTATATTAATTTTAATGAGTTGATAAAACAAAAAAATTGCACTGACAAATTATAAATACAGAATTATTGTAATAATTTAATAACATACTGGATATGATGGTAAATCAACTGAATTATTAATAGTTGCCCATATATGTGGACTGTCATCAGTCTTATTTTCTTCATCGGGAACATGTGTAAGATGAGACCAAAATGTAGCATCACGCTGCGCTGTAGGCCAAATGCGTTTATGAATCTGATGAAATACAATCGTGTCTTCAGCTATTTTATCAACTACATTCATTGTTTCTAATGTACCTAAGTTATGGTAAAATATTGTAAACACAAATTGATTAAGAATTGTTCAATTTATAATAATATGAACATGTTTTACCTTCCCAATCATATCTGTATTCGGGATAAAAAAAGTAATGGCACAATTCTCGACCAGTGATTCCTTTAACTTGATGTGTTGCTTTCAAAGGATCAACAACTAATCCATCTTCTTCGACTTCTCTTCGATACATCTTCATTTCACCATCCTCGACAAATAACTGCCAAGCTCCTTTTCCAAGACCCATACGAGCTGATCGGATTTGTTCAGCCACCACACGCTCAATCTTAAAAAAAATAATTAATACTAAATTAAATATTTACTCAAATGCATTATTTAATGATTAATTGTATCATTTAAAATATAACAAATAAAATATATTACATCTGGCCAATATGGATGTTTTAAAGAAGCATTTGTGGCAGCAGCTCTTATCAATTCGCCCCAATTGGTCTGAGAAGTTTGAGCATTATTTTTAGCAGACTGGAGTAACTGATCTTTTCTTTGTTTAGCATCATCGGCAGCAGTATCATTTGAAGATTCAACGGCGTCGTAGAACTCATCTTCAGCTAAAGTGGAATGTTCCTTTAGTGTAAAAGAAAAAATATATAAAGTAAAACAAAAATAAATAAATTTATACATTTCAAATAAAAAAATAAAATTTTAATGCAGTAGAATAATAAGATTTAATTTATGATTGAACACGAATACAGAAAGTACACCTTTAACCTTCTACAGCACAATGAGTAAGTAACAAAAATAAAATTTAAATCTTGTAAATAAGTACAACAGAAAATAATAATAAATTATTAAGCATTATCTATAGCGATAAAATATATATAAATAAGTACCATAGCCTACATTATTTTAAAATTAATGATGATTAAGAAAAAAATTATCATTATTAATGAAAACATACAAATATCAAATTTACTTTAATGAACTGATGAAATAATACTAACAATTAGATATAATTTACTGAGAAATATTATAAAATAATTATAATGTGTTTACAATATATAAAATAATATAATACAATAGAATATATCATATCATACCATTTTTGACCTTTTTAATTAACTAATTAAAAATTTAATTACCAATAGACATTTTAATTAAATTTTCTATAAAACCACAAATATTGTGCAGGTATAACATTTAGTTAATTGGATTAAAAAAAGTTTTTTTTATTATAAACGATTTCGAAATTGATCAATTTAAATATAAATTTCAAAACTAGAACAAACGAATTGAATACTTTGAAAGGTTTGTTTTATTAAATAAGTAAATAATATGTTTTTTTTTTACCTTTTTGGAATTCCTACTTACTTCAGGTTATATTATAAACAAATTTATTAAAAAAAAAAAAAAATTTAATTATTAACTTGTTTATTTTGTACTTCATAATTAAGGAGATTAAAATGTATGACATTTTATTATTTTGTTGAATCACATTTATTATTTAGTTTACAAAAACCATTAAACAGATTTTAACATTCTTTTTGTTGTTTTATTTTTATTGATTCATAATCCAAATTTGCATACACAATATGAAATTATAATATAAAGATTCAAAATGTATAGTAAAAAACGAAATACAATACTTACAAAAAATTTAAAAAAATGTATTTATTTATAAGTTAATTGTACCATTAATAATTATTAGACTTGTACCTGCGTATTTAATACTAAAGGATCTATAATAAATACTGTGTATATAATAATGACAAAATAAAATAAATTAAATGTTATATTGTGAACAATGTATTAAATAACCAGATATGCTCGTCATTTTTTTATAAATTTAACAAAAATACGTGTCAATTAATAAATTTATTATTATTAAGTTCAAAATTAAAACTATTTGAAAATATCTAATTGAAAACAACATTTAAATATTTAACTTTTTATTTTATTTATTTCTAAAATGTATTATTAAATTGCACATTCCAAGTATTACCTTTTTAGAAATACTATTCATTTTAAACTCGACTCAAAACTAGAAACTTAACAACAAATATAAGATTGAATTTAGTCTAAAACCTCTAATGTTAATGATAGGTACGAATTAACAGTAATAACTAATAAACAGTAAATGCATATAATTGAGAAGTAGGAATAATTCAAAAGCGCTTATCTCAATACTATTAAGTAGCTTTATCACAAATTGATAATGCAATAATATTCGGACTACGAACAGTTCAGTAAATATGACCTCATTAACTAGTCAAGTTCACTATTAACATAATATTAAATATTATATTATATTTTTTCCCACATGAATCAGGTTTATTTTTTATAGAGAATTATAATGTAAATCTATATTTATATACCGGAAGTTTTGTGTTCTACTGGACTTAAGTAGCGCGGAGAGTAATTATTTAATCCCCAAATTTAAAATCATAAATTCTCATTAGGCACAATAAATTCTACAATTTTATTGATAAAAAATTACTATTAATATTAATTATTAATTAGAAACCATAAAAATGTGTACACAATGTATACATACAGTTAAATCAGCTCCAGCGAGTACTTGGGCTCTCTCCTGATCAGTAAGCCCATCGACTAGTGATAGTGTTCTCACTACTTCTTCTAAATCTTTTCGGTTGTTTATTTCTTTTTCCAACACTGATTCCCACGCTGCCTCTCTTTGATTCATAACCTATAAACATAAAAGCTAATAAAAAAATCTTACTAAAACATTTTTTTTGTTTTTTAATTAATTACATACTTCAATACAATGTTTTAAGATTTCTAAAATTCCAGATGACGTTGCTTTAAATGCAACTGCTTCACCTTTGAAATCTAAAGCTTCACACGTATATTTTTGATATGATTCGTTTTTTGTTAAACCTCCTAGAAAAATTCAGTGCCAGATTAATAGAAATTTAAAAAAAATTGTACGTACTTAAATAATATTGTGTTAATACTTGGTTCATATTAGTTTAAATACATAAATAAACAATATATATAATACCAAACTATTCAGCAATAATGATCGTATACGTTTCAAATTCAATAAATAAAATTGAATATGTACTAAATCTAACACATGTTACAACTACAACACAAAACAGTTGTAAATAGTTTATAAAAATGGCATTCCATAATATTCATTATTCGTAAAACGTGCCTACAATAAATTTAAATTATAAAATTGAAAATGATAAGATAAATTATTTCAAAGTTAGTTATTAGGTTGGCCCGTGTTTATGTTCTATAATTTATTTTAATTAAATTCTAGAAGCTGTTTTTCTTTAGTAAAAATTTAAAATTATAATTATTTAATACTTTTAAAATATTGCCACTAAAAGATTCTTTTAGCTACTTTTTTTTAAATTGAAAATTACTCCAAGAAATTACAAGTATGATTAAGTAATATACATATATATTGTAAATATAATAATAAATACACCCAACTATTAGTTCCTTAAAACTGGGCACATACAATTTTAAGCAAAAGGCAATTAATTTTAAATGGCATAAAACATTATTTATTTTATTAATGCTGTTCATACACAGAACATTGATGATATATTTAAAAATAGCATAACCACGAGAACGTTTGTGGATGTAATATTAGTTAAATGATTAATGGTTCACATTGTGCGAATTTCACTGAATTTTATATAAACTATAATATACAGGAATAAACTAGACAAATAGAATTAAAAAATTACTGGTTTTAATAACTGTGTGAGAAAATATAAATATAATATATATGTTTCAACCAAATAAGGGGCAAACAATTTTTTTTTTTTTTCTTTTGCAAACGATTATTTGTAGGATACTCACTATATAAAGTACTAGACTGTGAAATAATTATTGCTAGAACTGTTACAAAAACTATGATTAAACATATACTCTTACTATTATATATTAATACATAATTAATTTTTAAATCAATCTAAACAATGTCAATCAAAGAAATTATGAATCATTTTAAAATAAATTAAATCTGAACAAAGTGTACACATTTCTTAATTTAAATTCATTCTTTTTTAATTAAAATACGTATTTCAGATTAATTACTAACTAGTAAGTGTGAGACAATTTTGATTTCAAGCAAAAAGAAAAAAAAAATGATTGAAACATGCATACATTTAATAAATTGATTATGACTCATTAAATACCCAGCAGTATATAGTATTAGCTATTAAATGATATCAGTGTGAATAATTATAAAACATATGTCTTATCTGGTAAAATTTAAATGTGTCATCAAATTAAAATTATTAAAGAATTTACAAATATTTTTATTTTATAAATCAATCCTTATACATGCTTACAATAAAACGCAAAAAAATAGGTTTGGGACATTATATTTTGACACCAATACAGTTGGTTATATTTATATAAATTTATGTCATAAACAAATAAATAAGACTTTATATACAAGTGTATAAATAAGGCATATTTACATACTTCACTGCATGTTCGTTTGTAAATAATTATGTAATGAACACTATTGAATACTACTGAGCTCGGTACGGTGTTTAAACTAAAATATCACAAATTTAAATGTTAACTTTATGTATTATTATTCAATAAAAACTATTAATTTATCCATTGAATACCATTTAATATTTAATACAAAAATCAAACATTTAAAAACTTTTTTTACAGAGTAAGTATAATTTACTTAAAACCAAAAAGTTAAATAATAAAGTTAAATACTTGCCATTAACGAATAAATAAATAATTTTTTAAAAATCATTGTTTTAAATTGTACTACATATTTTATAATACATCCTAAAATATTATTAACGAATAATAATTTAATTATTTCAAAGTCCATTGTTAGATTGTCTTGAAATAGTAAATTAAATAATATTTTATGGTTTATCTGAATTTACACAATTTTTTTTTAATTGGTTATAAACTACTCTTCCATTGATTCATATAAATCAAATTAAAACAAACATGTATATCAGAATTGATTAGAACTATAGTTTAGCTTTCATTCATTACCTACCTATATCATACTCACTTTTATTATTAAATCCGGCATTCAAAGTACTTGAAAAATTAACAAAATTAAACATTTTTTTTTTTTGATCATTTTTAAATTCTGAGTATAGGGAAGAAGTTATTAGTTTTAATAAGATGTAGATTTCACAGAAAACATTTTCTTGATTAGATAGAAATGTTAACATGTTCTAAATTGTTTACATTATATTTTATAAAAAAAAATGAGGATTTTTCTTTAAGTGTTAATTTATTTAAATAATGTTTTAAGATTCTCAATAATTTATTAAAAAATTAACACAAATGATGACACAACAGTTTTATTTTTTTATTTCTGGGTTACCTTGAGTACCATGGAAAAAATATCTTATCTTACCAATTAACTGAACTTCATTGAAAATTGTTTAATTGCAATACAGATTGCAATAAATTATCATTGCTTTCAGTATATAAACTGAATTATTTTATATCCAATAACTTACTAACATTACAAATACAATTATGAGCTCCACATGATGATAGTATGTTTGTTTTTTAAATTTTTTGTTAGTAGCTAGGCATGTTCAAGTGATTGTTTTTAATAGTTTTGAACACTATTAGTGATGTAGAGCTCGGATTTGTGTTTATATTATAAAAATATATATTTATACGACTGGAATATGTACTAAAAAATCAAAATTTGTAAGCAATAAACTAACGTGAATTATATCTTAAATTTCTTATGTTAATTAAAAAATATATTCTTATAAAAAATTGGCAGAAATTAATAGAATAGATGAATAATTGATTGATTTAAACAAACTGATTCAATTGCAATTGTTAAATAAAAATAAATCAATATACCTATTGATAACAATGTACTTTTAGTAATTTTCAAACATAAATGAATGTAGATTTGCCCTTAAATCTGATTTATATCTATTAAATAATCATACAATTTCAAATGGTGCTGTTGGATAATATTCGACATTCAACAAAGCTTCACCAGTAGAAAGACCCTGGTGAATATTTTTAATAACTTGCATTTGTATTGGACCAGAATTTCTACTTTCTATCTTTGTTTTTGTGTTTATTAAATTGTAAGAGTTGTGTTACTTAAAATCTTTGTTCTCACAGAACAACATAAAATTTGGTTGTCATTTTTTAAATGTTCATTTGCAAATTCAGAAACATATTTTGTATCTTTTCCAGTTTTAGATGATCGCATTTTCGGTATGATTAGAGCAATTATTATAGATGTACACATTATACTGTTCTATACAACACACACACTAAATAATCACTAAACCATAAAGCATGCACTACAGTTCGTCATATATTAACTTTTCAAATATTAATACATAAATAACATATATGATATTCTAGTTAATAAAGTTTTATCAAAAAATAATAAAAAACATATAATAGTAAATTAGTCCAAATTGTCAAAATAATCAGAATATGTGAGAAAAAACAGAATTATTGTGAATTGTGTAAAAACTATGTAATTACTACAATAGAATATGTAAAATCAAATATAGCTCATTTAACACATTGACAAACACGTGTAATAAAACTTTTACTATTATATTAGTAGTGCTATACCCAAAATCTATGTAAATTGTCAGAGTGGACTGCCATAATGTGGTAGTGATTAGATTATGATTTGATACCATTGAATAGATTACTGCTTCAGCAGTATTCAAGTAATACATTTTACATACTACAACTATAGCAGTAAGTCCGTCAATGTGTTAATTGAAATTTTCAAGAAACAAATTTACCATAAACATAAAAAAAAATGTATCAATTGACAGTGAAAGTATAAATAAAAATCTCAGCCATGTTTATAGTGTAATATTAAAAAATATAAAATTTACCGTTTGAAGAAGCAAATTCAGCTAAACATGTATCAAAATACATTTGAAGTCGATCAATCTGGTTGATTAAAATCCCCCTAAAAGCTACAAGTTCATTGAGTTTGTCCTGTAAGCCTTTATTTTTTTTGAACACTGGTGACATTGATGACATGTTACTGGATAATATGGAAAGCGAACTGCCATTGCGCTTCAAATTGTTTTCGCTGCCGTATCCAGATTCGGCCTTGAATGAATCAATAACATCAATCCAATGGTTTTTTGTAGTCGACGAGTCAGCTCTGAGGTACCAAGCACAGTCATTTAGTGACACATCAAAACGACAATCATCTACTTCATGTACCTACACACAAATATTAAATCTCTGATCAAAACTATTTAAAATATTCAATAGAAAGGTAATAGAAATAATTTAGAAACACTTTCATACTTTTACAGTAGCTTTCAATAGGCTTATAGCACCCCGGCATCCGCATTCTGTTTCCGATTGAGACTTGAAATATAACAAAGTACCGTTTTTCAAAACGAAATATCGCTGTTGCCAGCCGTGCAAAAAGTTAGTCCATTTGTTCAGGTTGCCCTGTAGTTCTATAGTACCACGATCTTGGGTGTCTTCATCGTCTTCGTTGATCTGGGCGATCGGGCATTCGGCCATCACACTAATTCCGTTCACTTTAAACGATCGCTATAAATAATACATTTTTGTAATTTTAACAATTTATTATCATCCATAGAAAGATGGCGATCGTTCAACAAAAACTCATTGTGTAGCACTATTTATTACACCGTATAATTCATTAGTTCATTAAAATCACTTGTACACTACAATGATTATAAATGTATTATAATAGGTGACAGTGTGTAGGATTTGTGTGGTTGTGTCAGTAATTGAAAACAATATTATTATTGAATTCTTTATCACAACCTCCGGTGCTCCTAATTTCCGATGATAAACTGTCCCCATCTACACAGTGCGTCCACAATAAACTGCAAAATATTATCGTGTAAAATATTGTACAAATAAATAACTACATTTACTAACTACGTAGACCAGAGGTTCCCAAATTTTATTGTACGACCAATTTTGGAAAATTTTTAAAATTTGACGACCCACAATATCAATGAATGACCTTTTTTTTTTCTGCTGACATTCATCACCTCGTGACATTCATTCATCCATATGTAACGTGCAAAAACAATCATCTGAGATAAGCCTTGCATATCTGTGGACTCGTTTAGTTGTAATGAGAACCATGCACTCAAATTAACTCTTTCGATCAGTTTATATTCTACCCATTCAGAAATTTCGCCGATTCTACGTGACACTGTATTATTTGAAAGCGATAACTATTCAACTTCTTTTAAACTTTTTTGTTCAAACATGATCCCGACTGCGTCTTTTATTGCTGGTAAAATTAAAAGACTCACCAATTTTGCGAGGCTTATCAGTTTGAGCAATTCGTAAAATTATTTTATATGAGGCGTACGTAGCTTTTTGGTTAATTGCAGTAAAATTAAAAATATTATTATTTGATGTTTTCGGAGATTCAGAGTTTTCTTCCATAAAACTCTAGTGGTTTATTCTTCATTTCTGGATGGTTCGTAAATATATGTCGATGTAGTTTGTTTGGTCGCATACTCTCATTTGCAAGTATACATGCACAAATAACACATTGTGGACGTGGGTGTTCTTCGTCTCCGTTCCATGAAAATCCAATTCGCAAATATTCGGAACAATATTTTCTTAAAGCATTTTTTTGTTTCGACTCACAAGAACTTGTTGAATGCTCGCCGTAATTTAATTTTCTTTTTTTAACTGTTGACGCAGATATTGTCTCTGTTATTTCTTGACTTTGAGTCATTGACTTTTTGTTTAACCATTTGTCCATAGTTGCACAAAAGTACAAAGAAAACGAATTAATTTGAGAAAAAACAGTATTAAATATACAACTGCGTACGCGTAACGCATTCGATGTGCCGCGTGTAACTGAAAATAATCAAAAGTTTTGAACGTCGTGCAGGTACCTACTAATTTGTGTGTTCTGATAAATCATTATCTTTTCAATAACTATTAATCTAATTGCGTCGTTTTGACTCGGTCGCTGCAAACTCGTAATCGTCACACTCACAGATAACGATTGACGATAAAACTGAATTTGAACGACAACGAAAAGTAACAGACGTTTAGAAAATGTAATATTTACAAATATAATGCGACACACCAAAACTATAGTCGCGACCCACAGTTTGGAAACCTCTGACGTAGACACCTAAATTTATTTGTGTTCAATATGTATCTGCGATACAGTAACTAGGACCTTTATTTGGCGGTGAGGGGGTGAAGGTGATGTGCATATTTGTTGAAAATATCAAGTAAACACAATAATAAATTAAATATACTTTATTACAAAATTTTATAAACGTTTAACATTAGTCTATGGCACGGATTTATATGTACATAAAATCCGTAATAAAGCGCTTAAATCGTCAAAAAAAAACAATTAAAATATTTAAAAAAGCAAAAGTAATAGACGAGTTTTAAACACCCCGCTTTACGGTTCCCACCCCATTAAATAGATTTTTCTAACACTAACGAAAGAATAACACGTAGATATAATTTTATTTTTCGTAACACGTACACATTTATTATATATATTATATAAGATCTGAAGTTTTATTACTTCTAATAGACATTGATGAAGAAAGGTCCAAAATTTTTTTTGTGATGACGAATAGCTGTTAAGTCTAGCATACATATGGTTGGCTAACATATTTGACCGTTTAAATAATCTAAATATGAGCCTGCGAAAATCAAACACAAACGTATGTTATGTTTGTGATAAAACGTGTGCATTCGTCAGGAATTTGGACATATTTATTTTGTAAGTATATCTAAAAAAGATATTTCAGTATTTGTAACACTGAATAACTTTTGGAAAGACAACGAAATTCAGCAAAATCAAATGTAATTTACTGTAAATTAAATGTACTTAATTTTACGTTTGTTCAAAAACCGAACAAATGATACTTACCACACATTAAAGACCAGCAATCAAAAAATTAAATTTTGCTTGCGAAATTAAAATCTATGATCGCC